CACCGGGTAGTAGAGCCGCCGCCGCCGCTGCTGCTGACTCCTTGTCCGGCTCCAGATCGGTCGTAAAACGCGAACCTCGGCCACCTCCGGGCGCCCCTGCGGTGTGAGAGCAGTTCTGGCTGTTTGCTGCGCTGAGTCAAAGGTGATGTTTGCTTTTCTCCCTGCAGGGATTATCTATGACGTGATTGTGGAACCTCCCAGCGTGGGGTCGATGACAGATGAACATGGGCATCAGAGGCCAGTGGCCTTCTTGGCATACAGGTAGGAGCAGGGCTCCGCACCCGCACGCGAGGTGCTGCAAATCATAGCATCATAGAATGGTTTGGGTTGGAAGGGACCTCAAAGATCATCTAGTTCCAACCCCCCTGCTGTGGGCAGGGACACCCTCCACTAGACCACGTTGCCCAGAGACCCATCCAGCCTGGTCTTAAACACTTCCAGGGATGGGGCCTCCACAACCTCTCTGGGCAACCTGTTCCAGTGCTTCACCGCCCTCATCATGAAGAATTTCTTCCTCACATCTAATGTAAATCTACCCCCGTTCAGCTTAAGGCCATTACCCCTTGTCCTATCGCTACATGCCATACCAGTCCCTACCACTGCTACCAGTCCCTCTCCAGCTATCTTGTAGGCCCCCTTTAGGAAGGCTGCTCTAAGGTCTCCCCATAGCCTTCTCTTCTCCAGGCCGAACAATCCCAACTCTCTCAGCCTGTCCTCGTAGGAGAGGTGCTCCATCCCTCTGATCAGCTTCATGGACCTCCTCTGGACCTGCTCCAACAGCTCCATGTCCTTATGTTGGGCACCCCAGAGCTGAACGCAGTACTCCAGGTGGGATCTCACGAGAGCAGAGAATCCCCTCCCTCGACCTGCTGGTCATGCTTCTTTTGATGCAGCCCAGGATACGATTGGCTTTCTGGGCTGCAAGTGCACATTGCCAGCTCATGTTGAACTTTTCATCAACCACCCCCCCCCCCAAGTCCTTCTCCTCAGGGCTGCTCTCAATCCAATGCCTAAGCACAAGTGACTGAACTTGTCTTACAGAGCTGTGCATTGACTTTTTTTTTTTTTGAGCTCTCTGTGCAAAGCAGGATCTGTTCTATATCAGTCCTTGTTTTGCAAATATTAAAAAAAAAAACAAACCCAAACAACCAACAGCATTGAAATCAATGGAAATGGAAAAACTAAGTCCTTCTAAAACTTTTAAAAATGAAAAGACTGATAAGAACAATGTCTTGAGCTGCCAGTACTTTTCTTTATTCCAAACCCTTGCTGTTAAAGTTGAATTTTGTAGTGGATGCAGACATATTTGGTCATATTTTATAGCAGCATACATAATGTTTGTGGAACTTCGGGTTCTGGCCTTTTGAATTCCAGTGTAATTGGGACTCTTACATCTGAGAGTGAGGAACACAGTTATAAATGTATAAGAACAGTGTTGTCTTTGAGTCTTTTGTTTCTATTACTGAAAATAAACTAGAGACTGCTTAGTAACAAATTGGTCTTAAGAGGGTTAAATCTACATTTGTAACTATTTTTTTATGTGTATAGAAACAAATAATGGATTTTGTTAAATACCTAAAAAGTTCTTTGAATCTGTGAGGTCTGTGACATGCCTTGTGCAAAGATTTTGACTTGGACTAGATGTAGTATATGTCTCAGACTGGCTTAGATTGTTGCAATATGGATGAATCGGGTTACTGCAGGGAGTTGATAGCACTTTAGTACAACTCAGTGAAAACAACATGAAAGATGATGAAATTGTTTTCAGGATATGAGACAATAATGATAATCTTCATTTCTGATTAGCATCTGCAGTAGTTTAATCTATGCTAATTTTATGAGGTTGCTAGTATTGCTAATTACAAGGATAGGAAGAAGGATTGGTGGCTGTGGGAGGCAGGAGACTTGTGATCTGGGTGCAATATTTCTTTCTATATCTCGGCTTCCCCTCTCTCCATCTGAGCTTTGTGAACAGGAAATTCAGCAGTGTGGAGTGACAGAGCTGGGGTGCTTTCAGACTGGGTCTCCACAATCTACGTGCAGGCTCAGTGAGCTGGTAGCAAAACGGAGTGCAGGCAAGAACTGCTTCTGCAGTGTGCTGGAACCTGTAGATGTGCTTCATGCGCTGACATAGTGCTTTGAGTGGGATTTGTACTGGGAAGAGGATTCAGGCACTGTTGCCTAAACATCGGGATGGAAATAAGACTTGAGAAGCTCGGTGGCTCTGGGGTCATGGTTCCACACCTCGAGTCATCTCTGAAACCAGATGCTACTTTGGACTAGATATTTCTGAAAACTGAGGAGCTTGAGTAGTAGCCTTTAGTATACACTATTATGTATAAAACAACGACTATGCTTGACTGATCACCTTGCACACTATCAGTCCCAGACATAAATTACATGTTAAAGCCTTAATGTAATTGTGTAATGTCAGTTTCCATACCTACTTTTTGTTAGAAAGTCAGCTATCAGATTTAATCATCCTGTATATTTGCACAGCTAAGGCAGGTTGAGTAGATGGGGTTTGAAATGTAACTAGTTTCTTTAATCTTTTCCTGACTCTCTCTTCTTCCCTCCCCCCTTCTTTTTCTTTAGAGTAAACGGACAATATATTATGGAAGGGCTCGCATCCAGCTTCCTCTTTACAATGGGTGGCCTAGGATTCATAATTCTGGATCGATCCAATGCACCAAACATCCCCAAACTGAATAGGTTTCTTTTGCTCTTTATTGGATTTGTCAGCGTGCTTTTGAGCTTCTTCATGGCCAGAGTTTTCATGAGGATGAAATTACCGTAAGTGATTTAATACTCTTTCAGCTTTTCTTCTGTTTTTCTGGCTCATGTGCACCTACGTTAAATTTAAAGAGCAGCAGACAATACAATGAGATATGTTAAAGATCTATAGCTTGGCTATAAGTTGTTTTTCTTCAGAACAAGCCACCTTGAATGAGGTGGGATGGTTTTGGGGCCAGCTACTGTAAAATTGTGCTGTCGTTAAAAAAAGGTGACAGTTCCTGGTATGTCAGAAGATATGATTAGTGAGTCTGACTTACAATGAATTTTAAGGTAGTCTGAGTATCTACTGGTCAGCTAAAAGTAATTACAAGGTAGGGCTTTGAGGAGAAGGAAGTGTCAAAGAACTTGAAGAAAGGGAAATGAGTTCTTTATAGTGACAGTGTACATGAGAGATCATAACTAGAAGAACTGATGGCAGCCGTAACAAGTGTTTAGAAACATCCAAAGCAGTCTGAAAGTAAAGATGATGTCTCTGGGGTATTTTTTTGTTGCTGGAAAACTGAACATAATTTTGAAGCATACACTATTTGTGACATTTTAATGCATCTATATTTGCAGATCAAAAAATAGGAAAGATCTGGAGATTTCAGGCTACACAAAATCCAAATGCAGGCTTTTCAATCCCCCCCCTCCCCCTGCACTTTATTTCTCAGTCCATCTATTTCATTTAGAATAGCTGAAACCTGATGTTTAGAGGTACTGGTAGTTAATTTCTGGAGCAGCTCCATGAGATGTTGACTTAACAATGACAGTCATTCCTCCTTTCTTTTTTTTTTTTTTTAAACCTCTGCAGTGTAGTTAAAAACTTGTTTCATAGCACAGAAGTGCTGGGTTCCCTGGCAGCAGGTAGCTGGATAGGGATCTCCTCTGTATTTTCTTGCTTCATCGATGGTATATATTCTCTTGTTTCATTGAGTACACATGTGTCTTAACAGTTCTCTTTCTCAAACTCATTAAAGAAACAGGGTTTCAGAGAAGTGGAAGAGAAAAAGAGACCAGAGTTGTGCCAAGTGCCAGAAAATGTCAGGTTATATTGAGTATCTTAACACTGGTAGTTTGTGTAAAGGGTACAAATAAAGAACCTTTCATAGAGTGTAATCTGGGATTCAAAAATTCCAAACAGTTACCAAGACTGGATTGAGAACAGGCTAATCCATTTTCAGTGTTCATTGAAGAAGATCAAGTGAGGAAGAAGCGTGTAGTTAAGCTGGCCAGTTTGTACCTTGGACAGGATTTATTCTTTTAAATAGCCTTGATCAGCAGAGTTTTTGGCAGTCTGAAGTTTTTGTTTTAAGACCATATGCCTCTTTTTTTTTTTTTTTTTTTTTGAGGAGTGCTGCTAATGTTTGCTAACTTGATTTTTTTCTGTAGGGGCTACTTGATGGGTTAGTACCTCTTGTGATGTATGAAAGCCCGAGCTGTATTTACTTCTCTTCATGAAGTGCTTAAGAAGAAGCAGCAAGAAACAAATTCCATAGTCACCATCAACAGGAAAGAGACCTGACCATGAGAAACAACTGGGGAAAGAGAAAAAAATTTCTTTGCCAACAAACTCTCACTTTCAATGGCTGATTTGTAGTTTTGAAGCAATGTTTTATCACCTCTGTTTTGGAGCTTTTGAAAAGAGCGAGTTACCTAGCTGAGTTTTTCTTTTATACCCCAACTCAGTATGAAATAGAGAACCTGTCTTTAGCTCCACCTGAAATGAGTATTAGCCATTGGCTTGACAGTTCTTTGTTGCAGGTCTGTCTCCTCTTCCCTGTGTGGGACAATTACATGTGTGAATTGGAGAAGAAACATCTGAAATGTTTCTTTCCAAGTTATAATTAGAAAATTAGTAACTTTGGATGCTTTACAGTCAAGATACATGTCTGAAATTATTTCAAAGGCACCTTTTGCCTTGACATTAATGGCTCTATGTGAGCAAATCCAGACATGCACTGGGAAAGGCAAACTGTATGAATATGCATTTCTTTTTGAAAAAGTGTACGAAAGGAGCCAAATAAAACTTATTTTCTACAAAATTATTTGAATTCTATGCAGTTTCTGAAGCTTTTTCTTGTGTGCATGACCTATTCTACATCCAGGCTTGAGATGCTATACCTTACCATGACCACATAATTCAGCTTTATTTTTCACTATTGAATAATGATTTTTTTTTTTTTTTAATATCAGGGACAAGAAACCTCATATTTTCCATGAGCTTGTACTTTCCATGAACATTATATCCAATGACATACTGCTATCAGTAGCCAAGAAAACTTACTTTTGAAGCTGCTGCTTTTTTGTGTGAGAGGCTCAGCTCCAACTTACTTTGTTTTAATTTTAAAAGATTGAATATTACTATCACATTTCATTGAAGTAATGTATTGTATTCTGGGGAAGGAAGGATCCCTCTAAATCTCCATAAATGTCTTTTTTGCAAGCCATATGTGTTTGAAGCGCTATTTTCGTTTGTATAATTGTCAGTGAGAAATGTTGTTAATTCCTGTAATTGCAAAGTTAGTATTGCTGTTCACATACTTAATCAAATTTCTGAGCTAGCTGTTAATCATCCGCCCTCAGGATATGTCACTTCCACTCCCTTATTCGTACGTACAATGTGACTTCAGCATTTGCTCATCATACATGTTCGTCTTTAAGATTTAAGGTAGCTTAAGCTGTTTTATGAGGCTCATAACTGCACAGTTTCCAGTCTTTTCAAAGCGGTTATCTTTTGGTCACTCTGGTTTTGGTGAGACATATGCTTACCCTCAAGGGGTAATATTGATATTCTGTAACTAAATAACTGAATATGTGTCAACTTTTTAATACATCTGAGAGGGAAGTCAAACCAGAAAGTCACTTCAGTGAGTATAATTGAGATCCCTGCAGCTCAGGGCTTGTCCCGCTGCAGTTCAGCCTCAGACTCCCAAGTTTGCAGCTGATTCTAAATGAGCATGCTCTTAAACAGTGGTTTTAATAGCATGGTTGAATACCTGTGGTCTATGAAATGCATTTGATCATAATTGCATGCTAGGTGACATAACTTGGAACAAATAAAGCGGACTTGTAATTGCAAGGTAGAAGATAGTTTTTGGAGAGTAAAACTAAGATCATGACTGTCTGCAACAAACAAGGTTAAATGATCCCTTATGTTTCCTTAGTCACAGGCTACGAACTAGATCTGGTATGATCCTCTGCCAAAGCATGAGGCACAGAGTGAAACTGGAAAACAAACCCGTAGCAGAAGACAGACCACCCAGAAATTCAAAGCGTGCTAGGTAGGAAGATGTCAGAATGCACAACTGGAGATTGGTTCATTGTGGACATGGGTTGGAGGCTTCTTGGTCACCCAAGGAAAGACTTCTACTGAGCACTGTTGAATAAACTGCAAAGAAGAGGTATTGCTATGCATTATAGCAATTTATGCATTTTCAGTTAAAGAAAGGCTGGTATTTTCTGTAAATATCTGTTGTTCTTTACAGGTAACAGTAGGTGGCCTCTACTGTGTAGAGGTTTAGGATAGGAATATTTCAGTAACTGAAAGAAAACTTCCTGTAACTAGTGACAATACCCATACGTGTTTGGTGCTTATATCTTCTAGGGTGAACTGAACTAGATTGGGGGTTGGAAATTAAAAACAAAATTGAAACACTGTGATAAAGGTAAAGCAGAACTTATAAGAACACATCTTTTGATGATTAAAAGCAGAAGTTTGGCCTTCTTCCAAATGCAACAAAAAGAGGCTGAAGTGTAGAGGTCTTGATTTTCTGGCTCTGTTGCTGCAGAAAATACCATGGCTCCTCCGTAGGCTTCAGTATAATCTCTGAGTGATGATGCCTAGTCAGGAATAGGTATACAACCTGTGTAGCTTTTGAAAGTTAGTACACATGTATATGAACCCTTAACGATCCAAGTGATCTTATACTTAATTGACTTAAGCTGAAAAATACCTCAGTTCCTTCAGCTGGTCCTCATCAGACTTGTGCTCTAGACCCTTCACCAGCTTTGTTGCCCTTCTCTGGACACGCTCCAGCACCTCAATGTCCTTCTTGTAGTGAGGGGCCCAAAACTCAACCCAGTACTCAAGGTGCGGCCTCACCAGTGCCGAGTACAGGGGGACGATCACATCCCTAATCCTGCTGGCCACACCATTTCTGATACAGGCCAGGATGCTGTTGGCCTTCTTGGCTACCTGGGCTCATATTCAGCCAGCTGTGCACCAACACCCCCAGGTCCTTTTCCACCAGGCAGCTTTCCAGCCACCCCAACCCTGTAGCATTGCATGGGGTTGTTGTGACCCAAGTGCAGGACCTGGCACTTGGCTTTGTTGAACCTCATAGAGATGGTCTCAACCCATCGATCCAGCTTGTCCAGATCCCTCTGTAGAGCCTTCCTACCCTCCAGCAGATCAACACTCCTGCTCAACTTGGTGTCATCTGCAAACTTACTGAGGGTGCACTCAATCCCCTCATCCAGATCACTGATAAAGGTATTAAACAGAACTAGGCCCAGTACTGAGCCCTGGGGAACACCACTTGTGACCAGCCACCAACTGGATTTAACTCTGTTCAACACAACTCTTTGGGCCTGGCCATCCAGCCATTTTTTTACCCAGCGTAGAGTACACCCATCCAAGCCATGAGCAGCCAGATTGTCCAGGAGAATGCTGTGGGAAGCGGTGTCAAATGCTTTACTAAAGTCCAGGTAGACAACGTCCACAGCCTTTCCCTCATCCACTAAGTGGGTCACCTTGTCATAGAAGGAGATCAGGTTAGTCAAGCAGGACCGGCCTTTCATGAACCCATACTGACTGGGCATGATCACCTGGCTGTCCTGTAGCTGCCGTGTGATGGCACTCAGATGATAACGGCTCCATAACCTTCCCAAGCACAGAGGTCAGACTGACAGGCCTGTAGTTCCCCAGATCTTCCTTCTCGCTCTTCTTGTGGGTTGGCATCACATTTGCTAACCTCCAGTCAACTGGGACCTCCTCGTTTAGCCGGGACTGCTGATAAATGATGGAAAGTGGCTTGGTGAGCACTTCTGCCAGCTCCCTCAGTACCTTTGGGTGGATCCCATCCAGCCCCATAGACTTGTGTGTGTCTGAGTGGTGTAGCAGGTCACTAACCATTTCCCCTTGAATTATGGGGGCTTCATTCTGCTCCCTGTCCCTGTCTTCCAGCTCAGGGGGCTGGATACCCCAAGAACAACTGGTCTTACTATTAAAGACTGAGGCAAAGAAGGTATTAAGTGCCTCAGCCTTTTCCTCATCCTTTGTCACTATGTTTCCCCCTGCATCCGATAAAGGATGGAGATTCTCCTTAGCTCTGCTTTTGTTGTTAATGTATTTATAGGAATATTTTTTTATGTTCGTTTACAGCAGTAGCCAGATTAAGTTCTAGTTGGGCTTTGGCCCTTCTAATTTTCTCCCTGCATAACCTCATGACATCTTTATAGTCCCCCTGAGTTGCCTGCTCCTTCTTCCAAAGGTCGTAAACTTTCTTTTTTTCCCAGAGTTCCAGCCAAAGCTCTCTGTTTAGCCAGGCCGGTCTTCTTTCCTGCCAGCTCGTCTTTTGGCACATGGGGACAGCCTGCTCCTGTGCCTTTAAAATTTCCTTCTTGAAGAATGCCCAGCTTTCATGGACTCCTTTGCCCTTCAGGACTGCCTCCCAGGGGACTCTGTCAACCATGCCCCTAAACAGGCCAAAGTCTGCCCTCCGGAAGACCAAGGTAGCAGTTCTGCTGACCCTCCTCCTTGCTTCTCCAAAAATTGAGACATGTTTGGAACATACGTGCCACTGAAACAATTTTTGGAGGGAGGGGGACATTTCAGCCATTTTGAGGAGATACTGATAAGTACTCTTGCTGATAAAGATAAGCATGGCATTTTTTTATAAGCCCAAATATCACCTTTTTAAAGATGTGTAATTGTTAACTAAAACCTATAATATTTTTTACAGGTAAGTTTATTTACTGGTATGAAGTAGTCCACACCGATGCCTGAAATAAAACTGTCACCTTAGACTGATGCAGAATATTTTTAAGGCACTGCCATTAGACTTTCTTACTAATTTACAGCATTCTAATTCTAAATATATTGTGCTTAATGGAATTTTACTTTGCTGCTTGCAAAGCTGGATACGTGTTCACAGAATACTGCTTGATATGGTTACTATAATCTACCTATTTCCAGTTCCAGTTGTGTATTTTATATATGCATAAATATATGTTCTTAATATATGAATTATGAAGCACTAGATACTGCACTTCTTAAGAGTTACAGCCTTAGAAATGGAGACAATCCTGAATTTCTTCTGCTGCTCCCAATACAGGGAGTGAACATGGATATGAGAAAGACAGCAATTCTCATTTATTTTCCTGGCATGCATGGAAATACTGCATACAATGGAAACTATTTTCCTACAGCATAGCAAAGTCTGTGACAATGTAATTTGTGTTGCACATTTGTGAATGTGGTAATTGTATTCTTCCTTCAGCATTACAATTTTCTTCACAAAAAAGGGTTGCAGCAATAGCTCTGGCCTGTTTTTAGAATTTCTAATTGGCACTTCTCAACTTCACAGTTACTTTAGAATATTTTTCTTCCAGAACTTGGTTAAAGAGGGTTGAAACCGTTACAAGAAAGGAATTGGAACAATTGTAAGAATCTTAGAAGGAGCACATTTTGTAACGCTCTGCAGTTGCATTGAGGCCTTTCAGCTATACTGATGATTGGAGAAATATGGATAAATTTGGATTTCAGTAACAGCAAAAAATACAACTAATGCATCAAACTCTTCTTAAAGGGTAGTGTTTCATGGGAAGCAGCAACTAGAAATGTGAGAGTTTCTAGGTGATTTGGTTTCTTTGGTAAGAACTAATTATGCTGGCGTCCCTTTTTGTTTGACATGGATACCCGTCAGCTAAGAACTGGACTGAGACCATGAGCTTGTTTTAGAGCAACAGCTGAGGCACTATAATGGGAGTCAAGCACGTCTGACTTGCACCACATTTTAATTGGTGATACAGATGTGAGGCACTGCATTCTGA